ACCGGGTGGAGGGGAGCTATGGGGGGAAAAAGAGGAACAACTGTAATAATCTGAACAGTAAAGATTTAATTTAAAAAAATATTTTATTTTTCTTCTTTATTTTTTGTTTTTGTTGTTTTGTTAATCCTCACCTGAGGATATTTTTCCATTGATTCTTAGAGAGAGTGGAAAGGAGGGGGAGAGACAGAGAGAAACATGGATGTGAGAGAGACACATTGATTGGTTGCCTACCACATGTGCCCCAACCAGGGCCGGGGATCAAGCTGCACCCGGTATGTGCTCTTGATTGGAATCAAGCCCAGGACCCTTCAGTCCGTGGGCTGACACTCTATCCACTGAACCAAACTGGCTAGGGCAAAGATGTTTTCTTTACAAAACCATTGAAGGTATTTTGTAGTATTCATTTCTTGGGCTTTTCAAAAGTTTGTCCCCCTCCCTTCTCCAGCATGTAAGCTTCTTGAGACAGTGAAATCTCTTTCTGAGTTGGGTGAAAGAATGCATTCTCCACATGTTCTTAATATTAGAAAGTTTAAATACTTCTTTAATTTCTGGTATTTATCTGTGAGATGGCTTAATGCAGAAGACCTTCATTTTCCTGCTAAGATCATGAATCATCTTCCAGCTCTGATAGAGAGTTCAGAATAGTTCTATATGGGATGGATCAGGTTTCTGGGCCTGGGTTCTGTTACTATAAAGCTCCACAGCTCCCAAGTATGTAGCCATGGAGAGGGAAACAATGGCCTGCTAAGGGCCTTTTAACTCAGGCTCAAGGATGGATTTGGAGAAGGAGACTTTTGGCCCCTAGGGATACCCTTCTGGCTCTCGCATAGTTCACTATTTCTGATCAGGTATTCACTTCAGGTGTCTGCGGTCTATGGGTTTCCTCTGGCCTATACCACTGTTTAGTGAGCCGCTGATGCTGATGGTAGCATTTATCCAAGGGGAAAGGTGATGCCAGGATGGAAAACCATCACATGCTAGGTGTCTTAGTTTTCTTTTGGTACTTACATGCAGGTCTGGCTTGATTCAGACACCAAGCAGCTGCAGGGGATTGCCTAGGTTCAGCTACAAGTTCAAGTCAGACGGTTTCTTTGTTCAAAATAGAATCCATCACTGTAAGGAAGTTCACTCGGGGTAAATATATTTTCCTTCCTGAGTTCGCCCAAGCTGTATATTGACAAATCCATCAATGTGTGTCTTTTCCTTAATTAACTTTCTTCACATATATTCTTCTACATCCTAAAGCCCTTGATTTGAGTCAGCCATTTCTTAGGGCTCTGCCATAGGAGCAATGAGTGAAGCTAGAGGTTTGCCTTCTGCTGTTATCCTAAGACCTGTGGCTCTGTTTTGTTTGCTATTTCATCTAAACATTTCACTTGTTCAAAAACTTTTTGTTTCCTCCTGTCAATTTCTATTCAAAAGAAATACTTTAGGCATCTATAAAAGATGCTATCATTTCTTTGGAGATGCTAACTTTACTTTTTGCATTTGCCTATTTTTTTAGGTCATGGTATTATAATCTTTGGTATGTTTGATTAAGAGGCAGCCAGACCCCCAAACTGTGTTCTGAGTGAGAAGCAGCCACTCAGATCTTGAACTGAATAAATGATAATAAACCTGAGCCTTATGCTCCCTGAAAGATGTGCCTTGTAAGTTACATTTTCAAGAGATTATTTTTTTAAATTAATGCTCACCTGAAATTATTTTTTCCATTGATTTTTAGAGAGAGTGGAAGGGAGGGAGGAGGAAAGAAAGAGAGAGAGAGAGAGAAACATCAATGTGTCTCTTCGATTGGTTGCTTCCGTACATGTCCTGACTCAGGCCAGAGAACACACCTGCAACCAAGATACATGCTCTTGACCGGGAATTGAACCCGAGACCCACAGGTGTGCAGGCCAGTGCTGTATCACTGGGCATACTGGCCAGGACTCCAGACATTATTTTGTTAAAATGTATTGCTGTGGTCTGCAGAAAGGAGGCCTTACAGGTGTGGCCTGTAATCTTCAGCTCCCTTTCAGTCAGCTTTGGACGTGTAGTTGCCTCGCGGGGGTATGTTCTCAAGTCAGCACCCAAGGCAGGAACTGCACATGACCACAAGTCTGTTAAAGGGCCCATAAGAGACAGTATGTGGACACACTGCTTCTCAGTGCAGTCAGCTTTCCCTCCCTCAGTGTTGGAGCAGCTTGATGTTTCTTTGGTAAGACCCAGGTGATTTCAAGTGAAGTCAGATGACATTGCTTTGTTTTATAAAAAATACTTATCTTTTATTTCTGGGATCACACTTTGTACCAAATATATGGATAGTCAAATTTATAACATATGTATGATATAAAAATCCACTGACTAAACAAGGATTTGGTTAACTAAGAGAAAAATGCTATGCTATATGAACCAGTTAGCTGGTTTGAAGCCTTGATTTCCAGCACAAAATCAAACAAGAGTGTGGGGCAGAGAGACTGAGGCTCAATGTCCATGGTGTGGTATTTAGGATCCTCTTAGGAGAGGTCACGTTCATGGCTTGAAAACAATTTGGCTGGCATGGAGAAATCTTTGGAATTGGAAACAAAAACAAAACTTGTTATAATTTTGATACATGTAATTCTTTTGCTTTACTTTTCCAACCACTCAGTGAGATGGACCTGGTTGGTATTATCGCATTCATAAATGAAGAGCCTGGCAGGGATGGGTTTAGCCAAACAGGCTGGTGCCACAAATGGAACAGTGAGGCCTTCATCCCTCCTGTGAGAAGGGGGGTCGGGGAGCTGCCTGCCTCTCCCTGTCACTGCTTTGGTCCTGCTGTGTCACAGCCGGTAAACCTTTGTCCACTCTTACTCTAGTTTCAGAAATGTATATAGATAAGCGAGGTTGTCCTAGGATATTTATGAGGAATTCTAAGAGTGGATTAACTCCTTCAAATCATGTGGCGGTACATGGGGATACTAATTTGCTAAATAGTACCTTTGTGGTCTAAAGGAAATAATTAACTGCCTCAAGTGCCTATTTTCCATCAGCGAATTAATTACCCACCTATTTCTAGCTCAGTGTTTATTAGGCAAATTCACTGTTCCATCATTTTAGCCTCTATTTTAAATTTTGGGCTCAAGGCACTTTTAAAAGCTTTGTGGAAATTGTTAATTCTTATGAAATGGTACAGTTGAAAAACTTTATACAAAAAAGTGTTCTTGAAAGAAATGTAGAGTGGGGACAGTTTCTCACTTGACCTGTCTGTTTCAATTTTGGGATAAACTCAGAGGACTGTCATGAAATTATTATTTTTTTCTATTTTGTTGACAAGATGAGTAGCTTTCAGCATCTGACAATTTGCAGGTAATTTATTTTTATAAGGAAGAAAGCACAGCTGATAAAATTGTGTTGCCAATGTGCTAAACATAGTTTTGATTATATTTCCTTAGTGAAAATTTGCTTAAAATCCATTAAGGATATACTTTTTAAAGAAGGATATACTTTCTTATAACCAGAAGGAACTTATAGTCTCTTTCTTTTGCTAATGGTGAACATAATGTGTGATTATTATAAATATGTTATTTCTTTTCAGGTTCCCATCCTTAGTAAAAAAGAAGATGTTTTTGCATATTTAGCTAAATATTCAGTGCCAATGGTTCGAGCAATGTGGCTTATCAAGATGACTTGTGCCTATTATTCTGCTATTTCTGAAGCTAAAATTAAGAAACGCCAGACTCCTGATCCCAATTTGGGTGAGTGAGAGAGTATGATATGCTGCATGTTTCATTACTGATTCTACACGCAGTTGCTGCTTGCGCTCTCTGTACACAGTGCTGCAAGGTGAGTACTGAGCAGGTTCATGGTGAGGCTAAAAGTCACTCATGGTGCGGGTGGAGAAGCTGGTCGTTGCCCACACAGTCCCAGTATCTTGATTCCATCAGCAGGTTCTAGGGATATTGCTTCAGATATGTCCTGCATCCGTACACTTCACCACCCTCTTTATGACTTTATAATAATTTCTTACTGCAATTAGGATGAACGCCATATTTGTTGCCATGGCATCGAGGCCATCTATGATTTAACCTCCCTTCCCAAGATGTCCCGGCCAGACTGCCGTCCCTCTGTCCTCACTCCTGCTGTGCTCCATCCTTTCTCAGGGCTTCTGCATTTTCTCCTCCCGGTACTCGGGTTGCTCTTTAGGGTATTTGCATCCCTCCTCCTCTTCACTGAGGCTTTGGCTCAAATGTCATTTCCTCAGCAGGATTTCTCTGGACACCTAGCTAAATAGCATTTCCTCTCTCTCCCCTTCCTCCCAGTTACAGCCTCAAGTGTTCTTACTTTATCCATAGCACGCTTCACTGTCTGAAATTTTCTTTAAAAGTTTTGCGCCTGTCACCCTCCCCTCACTCCCCTATCTCCCACGCACGCACACAGCACACATACTGGCTCATGACAGGTGTTTACTGAATGAACTGAAGGTAGGGCATTTCTAGTGAGAGTCTTCACTCTTCGGTGACTAGACAGTGACTCCTTGAGGTGATGCTGAAGCGAGCTTTCTAACAGGCTTGATACTACACTAGAAATGTGCACAGGGAATTGTACATCATGATGTCCATTTCAAAATTAAGTATTCAAATAATTCTTTATGAAATTAAAACATGTTGTTTATGATTGTGTAAAGGAGACCCAGCTGTGAAGCTCTGAGGGGCAGGGGCAGAAAGCACCCGCCCTCAGATGCCAGGCAGGTGGGCTGTGAAGTGGTTGTAAAAGCATAAAAACATACATCCAAAACAAACAAAAAATGCATTTATGGTTGTCCTTTTGAGTTCAGTGTATCTTGTGTGTTAAAACAAATAAGCAAAACTAAACTGCACTTAAAACATCACTGTGTGTGTGTGCGTGTGTGTGCATGTGCACGTGTGTGTGTGTCCAGGGGAAAAGAGCTGGGAGGAAATTACCCACAATTAATGTGCTTGTCTTTGAGTGTTGTCTCAACCTTATATTACTTCTGCACTTCTGACTTGAATATTTTTCATTAGCTTATTATTTTATTGAGGGAAACAAAAGAAATGCTGCCTTTTTATTACTAAAGTAATCTATATAATAAAAACCTAAGTGACTGTTATGGCGGAACGACCAGAACGACCAGTTGCTATGATGTGCACTGACCACCAGGGGGCAGATGCTCAATGCAGGAGCTGTTTGGTGGTCAGGACCAGTTGCTATGATGTGCACTGACCACCAGGGGGCAGATGCTCAATGCAGGAGCTGTTCCCTGGTGGTCAGTGTGCTCCCACAGGGGAAGTGCTGCTCAGCCAGAAGCTGGGCTCACGGCTGGCTCCGCGGCAGCGCTAAGGAGCAGTGAGCCAAGCGGTAAGGAGCAGCGTGCAGGTGGGCTGTAAGGAGCAAGGGGTCCCAGACTGTGAGAGGGATATCCTATTGCTGGCTTAGGCCCGCTCCTTAGAGCGGGCCTAAGCCGACAGGTGGACATCCCTGAGAGGGGGTCCTGGACTGCGAGAGGGTGCAGGCTGGGCTGAGGGACACTCCCCCCCCCCATGCACAAATTTCGTGCAGCAGGCCTCTAGTACATGCTCATAATGGTATTTTCAAATGGTCTTGACGTAGATACAGTGTTCAAGTTTCTCTCTCCCTTCTCTGTGTTTTCCTTCTTGAATTTTCCTTCATTCATTGTGTGTATGTACACACACGTCACACAAACACATAGGCAGTTCTTCTTTATATATCTGCATCTCCATATCTATTGCACTTATTAATGCTTCTCCCCAGAGCCTGCACATCTGGTGACTCACTGCTCACCTCTGCTTTGATGACTAACAGACATCTTAAACCTAATGTGTATCAAATCCAACTCTTGACTTCTTGCCATCAGCACTCTTGCTCCTTCCTCAGGCTTTTCTTCCTCAGCCAATGTACATGTGTCCCTGGGTGGATGAAGGTAAGAGCCATATTGTCATCCTGGGCTTTTATCTTTCAAAACACTGCATTCAGTCCCCTCAGCAATCCTGCCAGCTTTTCTTTCAAAATAGAATCGGAATCTGACAACGTCGTCCTCAGCCCCTGCGGCTACTGCTCTGGCCCCAACCCCACACCCCCTGTGCCTGTGCCATTGCGGGGCTTCCAGCTGATCTTGTGTTTGTTCTTCTCTAATGACAGCTTTCTGCTTTGTAGCTAAGACATAAATGATTCCATACTTGGAATCCTCTCATGGGTCCTTCTCGCACTCAGATGTCTATGTCAGCCGACACCAGTGGTCCACACGTGACTATCACCTCAGGCTGTGACCCGTGGGTACCTCTCTCCCTCCCACCTCCAAGGTGTCCACCTGCCTGCTCCCCCTTCTGTCAGCTCACATGGCACTCCTGTAGAGAAGCCTTCTCAGACCTCACTATCTCCTGTCACTTCATTGTCTTGGTTTCTTTTTGTCATAGCTGTCAATACCACCTCATGTTATATTTTAAATTAATTTAGGGTCACTAATCTGCAGCTATGATGTTTCTCCATGAGAAATGTCAGATTGGTTGAGTGTTGGATCTCCTAGGATGGTGTCTGGCATACAGAAGGTGCTCAGTAATTTTTAAGATAGTAAATGAATACTTAGACCTGAAGCATTTATGTGTCTGTGTATATCTTTATTTTTCCATTTGCCCCAATTCATAATCCTGGAAACTTCCAGCATCAACAGCTATAATGGAGAGCCTAATCCTCTATCCCTTAGATTCTCTTCATATTTTTTTGTAACTTGTTCCTGCCAGTGTTTTCCTTAATGCTTAATTTAATCAGATTTTAACTGTTACAGAGAGGCAAAAAAAGATGATCCTGCAGAAATGATTCTGCCAAATGAAACATAAAACAAGTTTAGAACAAATAAAAGTTTGTTAGATCCTCATCATTTGTGAAGAACATGTAGTTGGGGTTTTTAGGAATCTCTCTCTATATAAAAGCCTAAGCGACTGAACGACCAGTTGACCATTTTCTATTACACGCACTGACCACCATGGGGAAGACGCTCAATGCAGGAGCTTCCCCTTGGTGGTCAGTGCGCTCCCATAGCCAACCTCCCTTGGTCCCTCCCCCAGGCTGCTGGCCAGGCTGAGTGATCCCACCCGTGCATGAATTTGTGCACCAGGCCTCTAGTCTCAGATAAGAGTGTATCACCAGGACCATATGATTTCCTCTACCAAATAAGAGGAGGGAAGCCTGGTTCCAATTTCTTGTTAAGAGCATCATGGAATTTTTGTTAAATTCATTACATTTACCATTCTTCATTTTTAAATTATTTTTTTTAATCCTCACCTGAGGATATTTTTCCATTGATTTTAGAGAGAGTGGAAGAGAGAGAGAAAGACAGAGAGAAACATCGATGTGAGAGAAACACATCGATTGGTTGCCTCCTGTACACGCCCTGACCAGGGCTCGGGCTGGGGAGGAGCCTGCAACCAAGGAAGTGCCCTTCACCGGAATCTAACCCAGAACCCTTCGGTCTGCAGGCCGATGCTCTATCCACTAAACCAAATCGGCTAGGCAGTCCTCTCAACCTTGACCCACAATCTGTGTTCCCTTTAATTGTCATGCCTTTTAAAATCTGGAGCAGTTCTTCCACCTTTCTTTTTCTTGACCTTGAGATTTTTGAGGAGGACAGGCCAGTTATTTTGTAGACTGTACCTGGATTTGCACTTGTCCAGCTCCTTGAGATTAGATCAGGCGATCACTTTTGGTGGATGCCAGGAAGCGGTGTTGTTGCAGTTCATCATATCGCATTGTCTCCATACTGTTGGGATACTTTGATCATTTGGGTAAAGCGGTGCCTACCGGTTTTGTCCGATGCAAAGTTACCATTTTATGCTTTGTAATTAATAAGTAATTTAATTCTGTAAATGTCCAATTTATCTCTATTCTGACATGAGCTTTTAAAGTGCAAATGTAACATACTATCTATACTATATGAAAAGAGCATGTTTCAAACATCTCATATTGGTTTAATGTCAGCCTGCTACACCTGGTAACCTCTTACTTTCTGCTTTGTCTTCAGCGCCTTCCTTAGCTTCGTGAAGCAGATTATAAAGTACATGTGAAAGCATTTGGCTGTGGAGGCAGAGCCATAAAGTAGGAGATTTCACAGTCCATGCAGGCCATACAGCCAGCAAGTACACACATATATATGTGTTGAACTGGATTAAGTTGCACATATTTCAGAAGTTTAACTTACAGTAATAGGTTCTGTGTTCTCGCTTTGATAGAGAAAAGAATCATTCAGCACATTTGGGGTGAGATTCACTATCAGGTGTCACCCTTTTCAGGGGTTGGTTTTATGACTGCTTTGTCTTGATGGTTGTTTCTTGTAAAGTTTTTTTAATAGACATGGCCTTCATTGCTTTGTAATAGAAACATATGTTTTATTTTCAGTTCCCACGTTCAGAGTTAGAACAGTGCTATGAAATGGCACTGCTGCTTGATTTTATTAAAGAGAGTTTCCCTGAAGTTAGGTGGACTCACAGAAACAAAGGGGCAGGCCCTGGTGTGTAAATTCTTTAAACAGAGCCACACAGAAATCTTCACTGCCATTCTGAGAGTTACAGACCTAAAATGTAGATTAAATGGGTGCTGCCCTGGGAGCTCTCAGCCAGCACAGACACACCCAGTAGTGTGGACCCAAAAGTGAGAGGAGAGGGGGCTGGGCTTACTGGTGAGGTTTTATATGTAAATTCAAGGAGGGTAAAGGAATATTTGACTT